CATTAGAAACTGGCCACCCTCATAACACGAGCAGATACGATCGACCTCCTGAGGACGGCAAGTGCATAATTGACGGGGGATCCCAGCCACCCTATCCTCTATCGCAGTGAACACATCCAAATCGTCGAGGACGGACCTCAACATATAATTTAGGGGTTCCTCCCCGACCCATTCTTCCAAAGGCCTCTCCGGAGGATCCAGATCTACCTCCTCCTCGTGACCTTCCTCGTCTGCCGATAAGTACCACTCCACGTCTTCCTCATTGTGACCATCCATTTATACCTAAAAAGCAAAGGAACTCAGTGAATTCAATAGCCAAATCAAATCCACCTTTCCACCGCAGTTTAAGTGAAAGGACGCGGTCGCCTAACCGCCCGTGTGACGAGCGGGGGGCGACTTTATCCGCCGAGGAGGGCCAGTGAGTACACCATTTGTCCTCGGCGCACACATCCACTTGTGCCTGGGGCATTCATCCCATTGTCCTCGGGGCATTCAAAGTTCTTTCATTCCTCCCTGGGGCGCTCATCGCAAGAGCCGGGGACGGTCGTTTTCTACCCTAATTTTGAAGGATCCTTCGGCGTATTCGCCGGAAAAACCCACAGCATTCCCAGCGCCCCCAGCGGAGCCGCCGGAAACACCGCCACAAACAACAAAAACGCCAAGAAAGGTGCGGAAACTTACGTGATATGAATGTAGAAAAGTTACTATCGGGCAGAAAATTCCCAGATGTCGAGCAGAAACGATCGAAGAGGTCGGGCAGAAAATTGTGGGCGTTGAGCAGCTGCAAAAAGTGAATGAGCGAAAAGACGAGGCAGGTCTACGCATATATACCCCTAGCATGGGAAACGAAGCGTCGCTAGGCATTCAAGTGCCTAGGCCGTATCCGTCACAGGGAGACATGTGGCAACCCTCCATCTTCCCTACGTCTCTTTAACTTATCCCCTTGACCGCGGGCACCTCCTCGACGTAAGCTCACCTGGCCGCCACGATCACAACCTGCCTGGCTGATACCTGTCTGGCAGATCACGCGCCAGACACCATTCCCTGCTCAAGTCATAGCTCGCACGACCGCGAACAACGACTTAAGGGGCTACTGTTCTGGACTGGGCCGACGCTTAGCTCACAACAAACAGGTCCAAGCCCTAATGAGGTTGGGCCCTAGAATACCACGCTAACGGGCAGGATCCCCGTCGAGCACAACGTCTCCCCGTCAGGCACATACCAACATTTGTCGAGCAGGACCATCGCTTCCGACCAACCAGCCTCCCTCTTCCCCATCGTCGGGCAATACCCCGCGCATCCGACCAACCACCTCTGTCTTCCCGAGGGACTCCTCAGGCCTTTCCCCACGTTCTCCACGTATCCCTCACGCAGGGACACGTCATAACGTAACTACCCAGTTTCTGGAGATTCGGTCTTCCTCCTCCCGGATAGTGCAGAATAGTTACCCTAGGGCGAAGACCACGTCCTGGTCTTCACGACGCCACGTCAGTCCTAGCAGTTACTAACATTGGTCCTAGCAGCCCAGCCCAGTGTTAGGTAACCGTTGTCCCTGCGTTGGGGACTCACTATAAATACCCTCTTCACTAGAGGGTCAGGTAACTTAACTTCTTACTCTCTCTCTATGCTTGCTTCCACTCTGCCCTTCACTTACTTTGGCATCGAAGTGTGTTTCAGGTACACCCCCATCCTTTTCAATACTTTTGGTGAGCAGCTAGCAGCTCAACGACGCGTGGCAGTTCATAGTTTGCATGAAATCTAGGGATTCTCCGGGTTCCATACGAAATAGTTCAAACTCATCTATAAACATATTGATTTTAGAATCCTTGACATCCTTTGTTCCCTCATAGAGAGTTTGCAGAGCATCGCATATACCTTTAGCACTCACGTAATATGAAATCGAATAAAGCACTTTAGCACTTAGTGCCAAAATAATTATGTTCCTCACTTTCAAATCATATGAAGCTTTTTTGATTTCATTATCATTCCAATCTTTTAGATGTTTAACAATGCCGCTATCACCCTTGGGAATATATGGCCCCTCGGTGACGACACACCACATTTTTTTATTAGCCGATAACAAGTGTACATACATGATTGATTTCTAATATGTATAATTTTTGCTTTTGAAAATCGTTGCTTTATTATACGCTTCTTTAGGATTGTTATCTTCTGACATATTCACAAACTTTTGGATATCGATTAGACACAATCAAAAGACCAGCTCTTGATTCTAATTGTTGGGTGTGAATATGGAAGTAGAAAAATGGTCTAGAGGGGGTGAATATACCCAAATTTAAAAATGCGACCGCCATTTTCCAAAATCAGAGGGTTTTCAAAAATGAGTTGCGAGTGAAAGGTTTGAAGCTAAAATGAAAATCATACAGTTGATTATTAATCATGCCAACGAAGTTCGTTTCACAAATATCCAAGATTATAATAATGAAACGCTTGGTATGAATTGATTCAATTTACGTAATCACAAGGAGGGAACACAATTGATTCAATGTGTGGAGTTCTAAATTAAATTCATTTTAAAATTTATCAATCACAATACTAGTTTGACTAGTTATCCAATTCCAACAAAACCTAAATTTTTACGTAATAAATCACTATTAGCAACAAATGATATAATACGAAGGAAATAAAAAACCTAAGCATGCAATCACAAGAAATTTAATTACAAGAGTAAAAGTTAGAGAGATGACACTGAGATTTATAGTGCTTCGGCGTTCGTCCTCGCTTTGCTTATATGCATTCTTCAATGGTTTCCCATTGGAATCTACATAGTTTCTTGTTATTTAACAAATATTTCCAAGAGTTCATACAATCATCAATCAGTTGAGAAAATAAATCTTTTAATTTGGATCTTGACTTGTATACAACAATCTCGCCAAACTCTTCTACTTAATCTTTACTCGAATACGTTTCTTGAATCTTCTAATAACACCAATTATGCTTCAAACGTTTGTGTTTGGTGATCAACCCCTTGATCCTACTGATTTCTTGAGCAGTGAAATTGTTCAAAGATTCGAGAAGAACTCTGCCGTATCTAAAGTCTTTCTTACAGTTACTACTAAGACAATGTGGAACAGAAGAACCTACTTCTTTTCAATGGAATTTGTCACCACCATTGACACTCACTCAATCTTGCTAACAATATGAAAAACTAAATAAGGTCTCCAAGAATAGCTAGTTTGCGCCTCCTTCGATCAATCTCAAAACTCTCGTTATAAAGATCTGAACTCAATTAAAGTTGAAGATTGAAAGAATTTTGTAGTAAGACTTTGAACAATCAAAATAGAGGAAATTGATTTTCACTAAGATTAACATTGAAAAATCTTAACATAATGATTGATGTTATGTGAAGAATGATGACAAAAAGGTTTTATATGTGCTTGAGATAAAGAACACAAAATGGTTTAAAAAATCCACTTAGATTCGAATCAAGAAAAATATGATTTGGATCAAATGATCAAAATGAGGTGGAATGAAAGAAATAGTAGTTTTTTGAAAAAGTTGTCAGTTGATTCGGATCAGGCGAAACGTGATTCGAATCAAATGTCATGTAATTCGAATCATGTTCAAAATTTGATTTAGGTCAAATGACACAGAAGTGACAAGGAATTTTAAAAAAGGATTTGATTCGAATCATGTTCAAAATTTGATTCGAATCAAACATGAATTTTAAAAAATGAAATTGATTCTAATCAAATCAAACAAAATTTGTTCTCAGGAAAATGATCAGGATTAAGTGTAAAATTTGATCAGAATCAAATCACTGAGTTTAGCTTTTGTTCAATTTGATCAGGATAAAAAATTTAGTGTACAACTGAATGATTCGAATCAATCTTGTAAAATCTCAAATTTTCAAATTTTTAAAAGCATTTTGAGATTTTACTTTTGAATCAAAGTTGAACCAAAATACAAAATGATTTCATTCCACTAACGTATGCTATTGATCAAAGAATATTTAGATCAAGATCAAATCTAATCAAAATTTTATACATGCTAGAAGTAAATCAAATAAAACTCGATTTCAAGAAGTGCAATCATGAAGGAGACTTAACAATTCGAAATAAAACAAAGATGAAAGCGATAAGACAAACAACAAAATAACCGGATAACAAGGACATATATGGTAGAATTATGTAGTCGATATAAAGGTATGTGTTTAGCTAGAAGACTTAGTGTCGTTGATTTTAAAGTTTAACGACAATAATTGTTCAAAGTGTGGCCCCTAGTAATATTGGAAGTATTAAATGCTGAAGTCTTATTAAGAAGATTAGAGAGTTATTGAAACTTAATTAAAATGTTGGATTTGTCCACATATACCAGGAAGGAAATATATATGTATATTTATTAGGTAATATGGAATATACACCTAATTATGATACTTAGGTGATACATGAATCTCCTCTAAAATTACAAAGGTTCTTATTGATGATATGTTTCTTTATCTCGTTTAATTTCTCTTTAGTTTTTTCACTTGGGCTTCAACCCCATTGTATTCTAAAAAGAAAAGGTATAACATCTAATTAATTTTTGAATTTGATAATTTTTATCTATTTTCTTAAATTTATTTTATTTCAAATATTTAATAAGTGTTTTTAAAATATTAATTTAATAAGTATCACAAATCATTGATAAATCAATATTAAGTATAAATTATAAATTAATAAAAGTTTTTTACAATGATGCACCCACAATAAAAATATATCATTTTATAATATCATATAAATATTTTAAAATTTTTCATTTAATTTGATAGATTACATGATCTTAATTGATTAATAATGTAAAATTAATTTATGTTGTGGATGTATATTCTATTTTTTTAATTAATAATAAATAACAAGTGAATTATTAAAAAAAAATTGTAAAAGAAGGAAGAAGGATAAAGGAAGAGTGTGAATATATGATATGGATAGGAAGAAGGAGAAACAAAGAAAGGATAAAGGTGAGAGAGAGGAAGTTCTCTCCTATTTCCATTTTCCAATATGGCTTCTGCAACTGCTACTCTTTCCACTCTCTCTTCTTCTTTCCAAACCCATTCTTCAATTTCCCAAACCTCAACAAAATCCCATTTCTCCATTTCTCCACGTTTTTCCTCTCAATCTTACAACCTCTCTTTCCAATCCACTTTCTCACAACGCTTCTCTCTATTACCCATTCCCAAATCCACTGAATCTTCACTTGCAGTCGTTGAGTCCGAGTCTGAAGTTTCTCCAACAGAGCCCGAGTCTGATTCCACTCAAATTGTCCAATCTCCCCCGTGGGAGAAGGGTCTTTTCGCAGTTGTAATGGTGAGTTATGAGTAGATTTTTGTTAATGTTGAGTATGGATTCGGTGACCCATTTGTTTGAATTGTTTAAAATTTCATGCTTTAGGTAGAATTGTTAATCTAGATTATCCTAAAGTTTGAGGGTGACCCAGATGAGTTTGCATATGTACATTGTTATATCTGTTTTATGTTTAACCAATTATCTGCAATTTTTGTTTGCAATTTAGTAAATTAACAAACTTTGAGTAATTCATTTGTTGATTATGATTATTTTTATGATTTGCAAGAAGTGCTTTCAAGTGTTCATATATACAAATGTATCAATTAACCATCCAATCTGTCTTCAAATGTACTCTTAAAGATTCAAGTTAATGACATTCAAATTGTAGTTAACTGTATTGAGTTAATGGTGAATGAGTTGTGACACTTACTCTGTATCTGTAACACCGACACCTCTGGAAAAAAAAAGCGTGCCCTTGTTCGTGTTGGTGTTCGGTACACTTGTGAATACGTTTAATTTATTCATTTTTTCAAATTATTATGGTGTCGGCGTGTCAGTATCGATGTTGTGTTTCTGGTGTGTTTGCTTCATAGCTTAGTTATATCCATTAATCATCCACTGAAAGTGAAATTAACTGGATATTATGAACTACATTAACATTCAAATTTGTGTGTCAATTATCATTTCTCTATTAAAAACTAGCAATTCTTAAGTATAATGGTTTGTTGAATGGTTTAAACTGTTGTTGGGTTACTTCCAGTTTGTTTGTTTGGTAATTTGGTACTTGTTTTTGTGCTGGGGGTCTCTGTCTGCAAATTTTTGTCTTCTGTTCTTGTGCTTTTTAACATTTTCTTTTGTTGATTTGTTTAGATCGGTGGACGGCAATATATTGTTCACCCTGGTCGCTGGCTTGTTGTTCAGAGACTCAAAGATGTTAAGGTTAACGACAAGGTATGCATCTTGTTTGTTCTTAATTTGTGTTATTTTACATGTTGCAGTTTGTATTCATTTTCAGTCATAGATATGCAATATTCATTAAGCTCATTCAATGTTTAATGTTTCTTTTTATTCGCGACTGTTATCATTGCCATTAGCTCCCTAAACATTGCAGTTAAAATCGCTACCGTTTGTTAAGTTATGATTTGGTTGCTCATACAATATATTTGCAATGTTGGCCATTTGTTAATTATAGCTCTTGCAAATTTGGAATTGTAGATTGCCCTGCATAAGGTCTTACTGGTTGGCACCGATACGTCCTGCTACATTGGGAGGCCGATAGTAACAAATGCGGCAGTATATGCGACAGTGGAAGATCAGGTACACTTCTTTCTCTATGCTTATGTTTTTCTGTTAGGAAAAGCTAAAAGTAAAATACCTCTTCTACCTTAACCATTTTTGTTTTTAATGCAGGGTTTAGACAGCAAAGTAGTTGTATTCAAATACAAAAGAAAGAAACACTATCAAAGAACCATCGGTCACAGACAGGTACTACAACTGTCCTTTTACTTAGTAATCTATCAAAAAAGTTTGCTTAGAAATATGGTGTATATGATGAATGTTTGCATGTGGTCATTTTCACTTTATTCTTGTTCCGCCTATGGAAGAATCTTTGGTCAAAAACCAAAAGTTTACCTGTTCTGGTGTGTGATCAAGATATTTTTGAGCTGTATTAGCGCTATGCAGATTAACTTTTCAATGATTTATCTAAGCTTGATGTTTGATTTGGTTTTCAACTTGTAACAGCCAAATACACGCATTCGGATAAATAGCATTATGGGCTATGAGGACTACCCAAAAGTTACTATGGAAAATATTAATTTGGAATCGTCATGAACATTTTGTGCACTATGCCATTATTGTATCTTCTTTCATCTATAACTATTAGCAAACATTTTGCCATGTTTAATTTTTCTTTTATCAGGAATGGAGTTGTTTGCATGTTTATGTAGCTATTGTATGGCATATTGTAATATTTTGTTTCCAAATACATTGCTCTATTTTCTGTCTCCAATTTTCATTCCAGTTCCTACAATGAAGAGTTTGTTATGTGTTCTCCTTACCTCGCATAGAATGGTTTTATTGGAGCGAATATAATTTCAAATGTCGGTCCTTTTGAATTGGTCTCTTTCATCTAATTGAAATTAAAATCTATTTTAAACCATTAATTAACCACAATTGGTTGAACATTGAAAAGTTTGACTTCCATCTTATTTAACATAAAAGTCATACAAATAATAAATTATGATTAATTGACTATGTACAAATCTCTACCCCCACACTAGTTTGGATTCACAACAAGTTTGTGACACAATGCAATGTGATTTTGAAAGAGATTCATCAGATACTGGACAATACTAGAATTTGATGTAATGACAGGAAGATTAACCACTAACAGTTGAAGTTCTCTATTATATCTTGTAATAATTGATGATAAACAAAACACAGTACAGAGTAAATAGTACAAAGTAAACGTATGCTCCTATCTGGTGCAAGACGGACACACCAACAACATTAATAAACATTTCTACACATTGTTTTGTTCCTGATGCAATCAAAGCCATATTAGGAGTAATTTAAGTGCTCCACCATAGCTCTGAATATATTGATCATCACTAGCTAAGTCTACCCTAACTCTCCCCATGCAATCAAAAAGGAAGAGTAAAAAAGAGAGGCTCCACCATTTGAAATAAAACGGAGCATCAGCAATTGTTTCAATTAATAATAATACTTCCTTTATCTTGCTAACTATCATCCCCTCTGATCCACTATAACGGGCCTTCGACAAATGGGTTAAGCTCAACTTCATTCATATACCCGCTTCCTCTTCAAAACTGTTGGAAGTATAGAAACAAAACCAATAAGGAAAAGTACTGATAATGTCTTGAAATCATATAGATCCTTCACTGATTTTAGATCTCCAAGAGCAAGTCCAGCCTGGTCAAACAACAATGGAAGCATTAAGAGTATGATGGAAAGAATTACAGCTATCACAAAAGTTTGACAAGCCACAGCAGAAGATTTAGCCTAATCATCCTAGAGTTTGGAATTATGAAAAAGGAAAATCCATGATCAATAAAAACCAAAATAAAACCAACAAAAATGAGTTATATAAATCAAACAATGTTTAGATAGACCATTTAAATCTAGTTCTCTTAATATGCTGGACTAAAAGTTCCTTCGGTTTCTTTCTACCCCTCACCTTTGAACTATCCTCCATAAAAATTTTCCCCTCCTTACTAGTTTTTACGAGTCTTATTCACACACATGTCCAAATCATCAAAGAAGACACTACCATAGTACCATTGCTTTCCTACAACGGGATTTATCATTTATGCCAATGATTTCATTTCTAATTCCATCTCATCTTGCATATCCACTAACCTACCATAATAATGTACTAAAACACACCCTTTTCAACACACTCTCTTATTCGGTTGAAATTCAAATGGGTCTCACTAAATCTATGTGGGGCCTATATGACTTAGTGGTTCTAATTAAATTTCAACCAATTACAGTGTGTGTCCAGAAATATTGTGTTGCTAGCCCTGCTTTTTAATGGAATGTATGAGCTCTATAGCATTGAACTTACTTTCTAGATGGCTTTTTATCGTCAGGCATTAGTTTTATGACATAGCAACTTTTATATGATCATGAATGTAAGTTATTCTTTTAGCCTGAATGGTGCATTTCTATCACCCTACTTGGATGCTATGGTTGACATATACCCCTATCTCTCTCCATCACAGTATTTTTTTACTTCACCTTGTGCAAAGGTCACATGCTTCAAGGTTTCTCTCCATATCTCTAACTTTCCACTTATTTATTCTCTCAATTTTCCAAATAAAACTAGACCATCTCCAAACACTATGCTCCATCGCACCATCTTTTGCATATACTCAGTAAGCACATCTAGAACTAAGAAAAGATAACTAACGGCTTAAAGCATACCTTGGTGTAAACCATACTAGTATCACACAGGCAATGAAATCATACTAAACAAAAACACACAAAAGATAAATGCGAAAACCATACTAATATATTATCAAAATCAATCCAGCACAACAAGATCATAGAAACAGAATTTATGAGCACTAAACAATGGAGCCATTCTTATCACATCAATGACCCAGATCACAAAGCAAAGAACAAATTGGCAGAAATTTTAAGCACATCCAAAAAAAGGTTTAGATGCTGTTCTCTCATAGTAAAGTACTAAATTCTGCAACAGGTGCTAGAGAAATCCTCAATGGACTTAGTACTACTATTCTTGATCCCGGAAACAATGCCTCCTTTAACATATAAACTTGACCTGAAACCTGAGCCTTTTCAGTTTAAAGTTTACTAGCATAGTTAACATCCTCAATATCCTTCAAGATCAACACTCTAACCATGAAATTTTTTTGTTGCCGGCCTTAATCGAGGATAACCTCGTATTCTCTTTGAGAACTAATAATTTCTGTGATATTTGCGATGCTTGCATAATTTTGTTTAACTCTACTTGGTCAGATAAATAAACAAACAAACAAAAAAACCTTATCCTAGTAAGTGGGATCGGTTACATGAATCAACGTTCGCCTTAATGTTTGATCTAAGACCATGCTTCTACCCAAATCGTTAATCTCAAGATCTTACTTAATAACTTGTCTTATAGTTTTTCTAGGTCTTCCTCTACCTCTAGTTTTTTACTTTTCTCCATCTAATCTACTCTCCTTATCACCGAATCTAAAGGTCTTCTTTCTATATGTCCAAACCACCTAAGTCTATTTTCCATCATCTTTTCTACTATAGGTGCTACCCCAACACTCTCTATAATATTGTCATATCTAATCTTATCGTATCTAGTCTTACTACACGTCCAACACAACATTTGTATCTTCTAAAATACCTGCATACTTGAACAAAACTTACTTTAATATCACTAAAGTTGAACTGCTTCCTTTAAAAAAAAACATATTTCAGTAACATATTGAACTCCGTGTTCCGGAACTAAGGGGTAAAACCTGCTAACTTGTCATTTATAAAGCTTATGAACTAGGAAATTATCTTATTTAAGTCATTTGGGATCAATGTTGCTCAACTTAAGTTGATGATCATTCAATAAATGTTCACAAAGACCCTTCACCTCTTTTTTCTTTGCTGTTACACTTTAAACACAAGGACACTCATCTTTATATACAAAAATAGTTCACAATGTATAAGAAAAAAGGAAAATATAACTAAGGCATATAGCATAATAAGACATGCAATAAAAGACGTTTTATTGAGTTGAGAAGAAAAAATAATTAAAGCACACAACATAGACACTCAGATCGGCAAACAACAAGGTCATAGAAAATGATAAAGAGTGAGAATATTGTAAAAATAATAGTAAGTTAGGCGAAATGCTTACCCTGACAGTAATATAAGAGGCTGGTATAAGGCCAATCAATGTGGCGAAAAAGAATATATGAAATGGTACATCAACAATTGGAGATGCCAAATTGATGAAAAGATTTGGCAACGTCGGGGTTATCCTCAGAAAAAGCATGTAGTTCAGCAGCTTATCCCTACGCTTTGCTATCTGATTCAACCCAAAAAATAAACAGGTAAGAGAAAGCAGATTAGCACTCAACATAGTGCCATAATTTCCCGACAAACATCAAAAAGGGGGCAAAAAGCTACAAACTCGGACACATACACGAACACCAAACAAGAAACTAACACATAGACACCAATAATAAATTGAAAAAAATAGAAGTGATTGAATATAACAACATCTAATAGCACCGGACACTCGATACAGACATCTAATACTAGAATATGAAGTATCATTGCTAGAAAGACAAAAAGGGGCACAAACCTCTGATTGGAAAAACCTCAACTTTTCAGGCCACAACCAAGTAACAATAGGTCTCCCAATTAACTTAGACAAAAAGAAGCACGAAGATGCTCCAGCAGTAGCATTGAAAACAACCAACATTATTCCTCTAACAACTCCAAAAAGAGCCCCAGCTAACAACGACATGAAAATCGTTCCTGGAATCATAAATGTCTGCATAAAGATATACGTTGAACAATATCCAACAATAAACTGTACTGGATTCTCATTCGCATACGTTGAAAATCGATCTCTGCACACATAGATCGAAACAAAGCACAGAAATTTATTTCCAATGAAATTAAAACCTAACGAGAACATAATTATTAACAAAAGGGGGAAATTACTTGAGTGCGCGAAGATCGGAGAGGGTACGAGGCAATTTGAGGTTAGCGGAAGTTGCGGCGGGCATAGAGAGGTAAATACAAACAAGACCGGTGGAGAAGACGAAGAAAACGGCAACGGCGACGGCGAATTCCCATGAGTTCAGCGGGAATCTCTCCGATTTAGGTTTTTTGGCAGCAGGGGAATCATCTTCCAGCTCCATGCCGCTCTCTTCGTCTTTTAACGCCGTCAAGATCCTCGGCGCCGCCATCGTCGGCACGGTGGATCCGATCTGGTCCAATTACCGCGATCCCATGCGGCGAAAGATTATTGAATCGAATTTGATCAATGAGCTGAGATGAACTGAGATTTGTTTGTTTGTTTTTATTTTATTTCATTTGGTTTTGGTGACGGAAGAGAAAGTGTTGTGAATGATTGTTATGTGAAATTTAGTTGCAATGTAATTTATCTGAGATAGAGAGGGAAAGGATCTTTGAAGAAGGTACAAGGTATAAAAGAATAATTGGAAAAGTTTATGGATTGTTCTATTATAACAGTAATTTAATTTTGGTAAACACTTGAATAACAGCATTTTGATTTAGATAGGGATAGATAAACTTTTATCCTTTCTTTCTAATTAAATTTTTTTTTTGTTGTTTTTACTATTTTTTACTTAAAAATATTATTGTCCTTTTTTAATAACATTTTATTGTTTTTTTTCTACGTGAATTATTGCTCTTATTATATAGGCTAAACATACTTTTGAAAAAAAAATCTTTCGAATACATGTATTATTATTGTTATTTGTACTTGTCTTGAATTATGCCAAAGAATCTAATTATATTTAATTACAGGAGTTTGACATTCGAATATAAAAAAAGATTTCAATGGTAAAAATCTAAGATAGAATTATTTTTTTGAAGAAATAGATGAGGTTTATAAAATTAAGAAATAAAGTATAGATGTAAATGTTAGATACATGATTGACAATTGGTACACTGATTGACAACTATATTAGAGCAAAGTCAATCGATCAAAGTCACAACTTTGCAAGTACGAGTATATGTTGTATATAAAATATATGTTTTTTTTTTCTGTCATATATATTTACAGCTTCATTATACCTATAAGTACAATAATTAGAAAGATAAGTTCGTTAGAGTTATAGTTAGCGTCAGATGCCTATGAGGCAAATAGATTGTATATGTTTTCTCTTAATTATATGAGTGAGCCTTTTTCCATCCTCTGGATGATTTTTGACGTACTCAGTAGATCCCCTCCTAGTTGGGTTATAACTTGCCCTTCCTGGTTGGGGTGACCATCTATTTTAGCACCAGATTGCCCTCATCATTCTTTTTTGGTTTGACCTTGGTGGTCTACCTTCTCGATGCTCTTTTCTTTGCCACAAATTCTTGATTCTAAGCCATTTCTCTGACATTTTCTATCAATTGGCTGAACTTGATACAAACAGACATCTTTGTGCTTACTTTGATGATTTATGTGCTTGAATACTTGTCATATTTGTTTATTACTTTTCTCGCCTTTTTATAATGCCAAAGAGAAAAATATATATACTCTCATGAGAGTAAGATATACTCTTTGTGTTTCTCAGAGGGAGTTAAATCACTCTAGTCTATCACTGTTGTTTCTTTGTTTGTTCACTTTCCTAAAAGATGCATCGTCATAATCGCTATGTGCTTACAGGACTAATGTCTACAACAATATGTTTGGTTTTGATGTTGACAACATTCTTAAGAGAATTCTTCATTAGAAGTGTTGATTAATTCCATCTGGTATTGATGAAAAGTCTATGAGGTGAATTCATATGTTGATTAAGTTATGGCACTCAAGGTATCAAAGTTCATCTATATGATGGTTAAGTTACGATGCTTGAAGATAGATATCAAAGCCTATATATGAAAAACAAAATCTTATGTCAAGCAGTGTTTGGTGAAGTCAATGAAGATCTCGAATAAAGTATTGCGTCTGATCATGGTGTCAATCTTAAAGAGTTATGTCAAGACTCATAAGGAGAAGATACAAGGTTCTAGTGAAGTGCTAAAGTCAAAGATAATGTTGCAAGGAGTCTGAAGCTTTAATGTTATGAAAAAGATGACGTGCAAAAGCTCGTTGAGCCCGCGTCGAGTGATTTGTGTCTCTAAATGTATAAGAATAACTTTTGAATTAACTAAGAAAAATCACACACGCACTTTCAATTGATTTTTTTAAAGAGACGGCGTGTAAAAGCTCGTTGAGATTTTTTTTTTGTCCTTTTTATTTATTTATTTCATTTAGTTTTGGTGATGGAAAAGAAAGTGCTGTGAATGATTGTTATGTGAAATTTAGGTGCAATGGGAAAGGATTTTTGAAGAAGGTATAAAAAAATAATCAAAAAATCTTATGGATAGTTCTATTATAACAATAATTTTTTTTGGTAAACTCTTCAATAACAACATTTTTATTTAGATGGAATGGATAAACTTTTATCCTTTCTTTCTAATTTAAATTTTGTTGTTTTTACTATTTTTTATTTAAAAATATTATTGTCCTTTTCTTAATATTTTATTGTTATTTTTCTATTGTGAGTTATTGTTCTTATGATATAGGATAAATATACTTAGGAAATTAAAAAAAAATTGATCGCACATATTATTTTTTTTACATGTACTTGTCGAAATTATGCCAAAGAATCTAATTATACCCAATTACAAGAGTTTGACATTTAGATATCAAAAAGATTTCAATGGTAAAAATCCAAGGTAGTATTATTTTTATGAAGGAATAGGTGAAGTTTGTAAAATTAAGAAATAAAGTATAGATATACTCGTTAGATACACTGATTGATAATTGTATTAGAGCAAAGTAAGTCAATCAGAGTCACAAGTATGACTATATGTTGTGTATAAAACTATATGTTTTTTCTCTATCATATATAATTATAGTTTCAATATACCACTAACTACAACATTCTTAAGAAAAGTCTTCATTAGAAGTGTTGATCAATTTCATCTGGTGTTAATGAAAACTCTATAACGTGAAGTCGTATATTGATTAAGTTATGGAACTCAAGGTATGAAATCTCATCTATGTGGTGGTTAAGTTGTGGTGCTTGAAGATCAAGATATCAAAGCCTATATATGGAGGACAATATCTTATGTCAAGCAACATGTGGTAAAGTCAATGAAGATGTCGGATAAAGCATTGTGTTTGATAATAGTGTCTATCTTAAAGAGTTATGTCAAGACTTATCAGAAGAAGATTCAAGGTTCTAGTGAAGTGTTAAAGTCAAAGATAATGTCACAAGGAGTCTGAAGCTTTAGTGTTATGAAAGATAGGACATGTAAAAGTTTGTTGAGTCTGAGTCGGGTCATCTGTGTCTCTAAATGTATAAGGTTAAATTTCGAATTAATTAAGGTCATCTGTGTTATTTCAGTCCATATGAGGAGATTATTTCAGTCCATATAAGGATCTCTTTATTTTTGGTAAACACTTCAATAACAACATTTTGATTTAGGTGGGAATGGATTAACTTTTATCCTTTCTTTCTAATTTAAAATTTGTTGTTTTTACTTAAAAATATTATTGTCCTTTTCTTATAATATTTTATTGTTATTTTTCTGTTGTGAATTGTTGTTCTTATTATATAGGCTAAATATACTTAGGACCAAGGTTGTTAGAATCGAGTTTTTACTGACTCGTTTTGGCTTGGTTATATATATATATATATATATATATATATATATATATATATATATATATATATATATATATATATATATATATATATATATATATATATATATATATATATATATATATATATATATATATATATATATATATATATATATATATATATATATATATATATATATATATATATATATATATATATATATATATATATATATATATTAGGGATCAACTTACTCCAAGGTAAAAAAATTTTAACTTATTTCAAATTATAGCCTTTGAATTGAATCTAATCTAATAGTTAATTAAGTAAAAGGCTAATTTAACAAATCAAAGACACACAATAGCAAAACTATCAACACTGTAACAAACATAGTAACAAACCAAAGTTACATACAATCACATGATAACACAGTGACATAACATTGCTTTGTTTTTTATTTATGAAGAAGACTCACTTTTAAATACTTACCAATTAAAGAAAAAGGTCACAAAGACACAAAAGCATCACAATATACAAAGCAAAATAAGAAAGCTCACAGAATATAGTCGTTAAAGTTCTGGTCTGACGTCGTACAAGTGAAGTGATGTTAGGGTTTACAAGTTTTTAATTTTCGTTGCTCTGGTAAATAAAAAGTCTAATGTCTAATGAAAAAAGAGGTTATTTAAAGTGGATAAAATAATAAAGTGGGAGAAGTTTTATTGGGTTGGACATTTTAAAATTTCAAGAAAAAAAACGTAAAATCAAGTCAAAGAGTAAATTCCAAATATTTTACACGATTTTACAGATTTCAGAGAGATTTAAATTGTGTAAAATTGCTCCAATATAGGATTTTACTTAAAAACAATTTTACCTGTGATTTAACACCAAATTTCAACTTAGAAACGTAAAATCTAAAAGTTTAGGTTTTAAATCGCGATTTTAACAACCTTGCTTAGGAGTTTTAAAAACAAAAACTTTTGATTGCATGTATTATCATTTTTAATTGTACTTGTCAGAATTATGCCAAAGCATCTAATTATGTCCAATTACATGAGTTTGACTTTCAGATAATAAAAAGATTTCAATGGTAAAAATCCAAGGTAGAACTATTTTTATAAAGAAATAGGTGAAGTTTGTAAAATTAAGGAATAAAGTATAGATGTACTTGTTAGGTACACTGATTGACAATTGTATTAGAGTAGAGTCAGTCATTCAGAGTCGCAAGTATGAATATATGTTGTATATAAAAATATATGTTTTTTCTCTATCATAAATAGTTAAAGTTTCACTATACCTCTAACTACAATAATTAGAAAGATAAGTTGTTAGAGTTATAGTTAGCGTCAGATGACTTGAGGCTATCTATGAGGCAAATAGATTGTATATTTTTTCTCTTAAGCATATGAGTGAGCTTTTTTCCATCATCTGGATGATTTTTGACGTACTTAGTAAGGTCCCTCCTATCTGGTTTATAACTTGCCCTCCTGGTTGAGGTGACCATCTATTTTAGCACCAGATCGCCCTCCTCACTCTTTCTTGGTTTGACCTTTGTGGTATACCTTTTCGATGATCTTTTCTTTGCCACAAATTCTTGA